CATAAAAATGATTTCTTCTTCTTAAAAAATAAAATCATTTTTCCAATGGAGCCAAAGACTCACTACTTTTTGGCTTGGGAATATGATGGAATAAAGCAAAATGTCTCACTAAACTGTCTGTGCTCGTTTGTTACGAAGCAACCGTCAGTCCATGCAATTTTGACACGTTTTTTATCATGGGTCATTTAGAAACAGTCTCTCTGTGCTTTAGTACATGGGTAAGGCTGCGTACATCTGACCCCCCTTACACCCACCGTAGGTGGGTGTAATGTTGCTGTTTGTTGTATAAGATAAAATCATTTTCCAGAAAAATATACTTTCCTTCGAGGAAATGTTTTGTGGTGCCAAAACAGAGAAAAGCCCAGTTTGGTTTTAGGAATATGTATTAACATGAAACAAATGGAGCCTAAACTAGAAATACAACCTGATCAGAGTTCTGATCTACTTTCAACTTTCAAACATGCATGGCCCGATTAGACACATTATATACAACCCATTCATGGGCAATTTGAACAGACAATGTTGTCATTTTGCCATCACAAATGAACCCTTAAATATTTGAAATCACAGGAGATATATAGCAATGATGGAGATGTGTCGCATTGTTGGAGACAGAAATCGGCTTATTGCAATATTACTTCTGGTTTCAGAAAATGTCATGAATATTATCCTCTTCCATTTTCAAGACAGGTATAGATTTGTAATCCCATTGCTTGTTCTGATTATCTTGACATACTAAATATCTGTTTAATTATTTATTATGTATTTCAGTTCTTACGAGTGTGATCCCACTAAGTCCATAAAAAGGCTCACGTATAATTCAAAGCCTGATACTAATAATGATGAGTTGAGCTTCCTTTGTGGGAAAGTAATTTCTACAATGGAAAAGCTTGGGTCGCTAAGTGAGGTATGACCATTTACTAACTTACACTTGTATTATATCTTCTTTGAACATGTGGGGAATGTCATTTATTTGTTTTTAGTTTTAGAAAACAAGATGTCTTTACTTAATACCAACTATTGACATTAGACTAAAAGTAATCTAAAATGGATAGCTAACCAATTTCAATATTATGCTAAATGATAAAACAATCAGATTTTATGGTAAAATAAAAAGTTAGCTAATGTGATGGTTTAAATAATTGTAACCGTTGCTGTTAATAAAAAACAATACAAACTATTGGCCTATGGCCAGAGACCAAATTAATTCTAACTTTGAAATTCCATCACACCTCCAACCTTTCATGTGATCACTTTATCCAGATTTCTTAGAAAACATGTTTGTATTATTTTCGATATTTATTGGAATACCTGGGTTTTTTACAAGAATATTACTAAAATAAAACATATTTACATAAATGTGACTATTCATTACTGCAATGTGGTGTTGTGGTAACTTAAATTTAAAACTTGAACATGAATTACTATGATTTCATTACTACTCTAGTCACTAGTCATATTTTTGTAAATCATCTTTATTTTGATCATATTTATGTAATTATTTCATACTCTTTTAAGCCTATAGCTAGTACTTTGTGTTATTTTAAGTCCTTCCACAAAAAGATAAATTAAAATTTGAAACCTGAACAAATGAACTCATATTTTATTCTTGGGCATCTTGTTTTTCACAGGATAAAATCGGACATGAACTAAAAGTGTTCCACAGACTGTCGAGCTCTCTTAAGGAAATCTCAATTCAAAAGTTGGGGTTGTGAGTCTAAAAGCTCTCACGTTTTCACAAGTCTGTATTTCTCTCATCCTGTTTTGTAGAGTAGTTACTGTACCATAGCAGCCTGCAGGTCACTTTCTCATGCCGGTCATTTAGTAAATATTTTCTTACAACGAGGTTTAGAGAACAAGAAAAAACTATTATGGGCTTTGGCAATTGTATTTAATGAGAAACTTAATGTATAACAAGTTCAGATTTCATGCAATTTAGATTTGTTGTACTTTCTCGCAAGCAACCTGATCACTGTTTTTCAATCTTTTAAAGATAGCACTTTTGGTCCCTCATTTATTGGTATATTGCGGATTTAGTCCCTCAGGTATTTATGTGTATACTTTTAGTCCCTTGGTTGTCCATCTAGTGGTGAGTCCCTTGGTCTCTAAACAATTTGCATGAGATATTTTATGTTTCATTCTTTTATATTGTTATGATGATCTCTATGAACCTCTATAAACCTTCGCACATCAAAATACAATTCCACCTATTGTTATGGATCAAGGGCTGTACAGAAAAACTTGTATGTCGGTTGGATTTTGTTGAGAGTTGAAACCCAACACAAATTTGTCATGGAAATTTCTGCTTAGCATGTTTCCCTTGTATGGAAAGTATAAAAATAAATTCCAATAAAATGAGGACTATAAAAAGTATGTTATGGAATTTAAAGGGACATTATAGCAAGACACATTCTTTGACAGTCGAGCAAAATGAGTTTTTTTTTTCCCCCTTGTCCCACCTCCTTGGCTCTAGGCATGGACTCAGTTCGGGCCGACTGGCCCAAGAACCGGCCTAGCCCGGGAAACTGGTTCCGGTACCGGGCTTAGGCCCGGCCCGAGGGGGTACCGGGAGTGGTTCCGGGCCTTTTTTTTTTTTTTTTTTTTTTTTGGGTTTGGGTTTGGTTTAGGTGGGTTGGGTGTTTCTGAGGGGTTTACGGGGTGGGGGTGGGGGGTGGGGGTGGGAGTTGAAATAAATAAGAAAAAAACCGGAACCGGTAGACTCCTGGGCCAGTCTCGGGCCTTACCCAAAACCATCTAAGCCCCGCTAGGCCTGAATTGGAATCAGACCGGACCCGGTCCACCCCTACGCGGCTCCTCCCAGAGTCCTAGTCCCAGGTGATAAATTAATCTTCCTTTTAGCCTTTTAGGTGATCTACTAGACTACTACTAATAAAGTGCTCACTATCTCATAGAATGTTTCCCTTTTTCTTGTGGGTTGTGCCAAAAGTTCTACCCTTTTCATTAAAGTTTTGGTGTTATAACAGGGTTTGAATGTAATCACAAAAGTTTGACTAGAAAACGGGGAAAATAAATAATACACCCGAACTTTGTCTTGTTCGGTGTGAGCTCTCCACCCTGTACTTGTTCTAGTTTAAAAAATACCCTCAACTTTATTTTTTAAAACTTTTGGTACCAAATTTTAATTATCAAATAATATTTCTCAAATTAAAAATGTTAAATAGATTTAGTTGGCAAAAAAAGATGAGTGATTCCCAAGAAAATGTGTGCTTTCATAGGTTGTTTAATAGGACATGGGGCATAAACATCTCAGTTTTACAAAGTATGTGGACAAGTTTGGGGTGAGGATAACACACCTATGCAAAGTTTAGGGTATATTATTTATTTTTCCACTAGAAAGCTGTTACTCCGTATTTAATTGAATACTATCTCCGACCTAGTGTAAGTTTTCCGTGGAAAATTACATCGTTTTTTGCACAATAATGCAATAGGTTAATTCGAGTATATTTTGAAAATTGGTTTTGATGAGTATGTAATATTATGAAGTTGATGATAATTGTGATGTTACAAGTGTATTATCTTAAATACTAGTATTTGATCATTAAATTATCATGTAAGAATGTTAATTATTTTCTATAATAATAAATGAGAAGTTTTAGTTGGGACGTCCAAAAGAGATAATTGAGAAGGTTAAACTAGAATGAACTCAATGAAGTACCAATTAACTAATGTAATTTGAACTAGAAATTTAAATAGTGAATATTGAAAGTGTGATTACACGTAAATATCATTTTTAAATCTCATCTTTACCGTTTGCAAAAAAAAAACACCTTTTTGCCGTAATAAAACATTTCAAATCAAATATACATCTCCAATTGTCTTTGTGGACTATGAAAATTCTTAGGTCAAAAGATATGCTCATGTTTGTTGTTTCCATTGCCCATTAGCGATGGGTAAGATTGGGTGTGGTAGAGTAAGGGTCACTGGTAAATTGGTGTATTACCTCCGTCCCGAATTGATTTGCAAATTTGACTTTTCTTGGTCAAACAGTTGCGTTTTGTTCATTTAATTAGGATGCCAATTTTTAATTATATTCTAATTTGAAGTTTACAACTTTGAAGAGATTTTGATGTAATTTATGAATATAAAAATTTTATTTATTAAAAATTAAATTAATTATGCATAAGAAGGGTTGACTTTTATTATTAGTTAACAAAAAAATGTTGACTTTGCAAAACAAATTGGGACGAGGGAGTAATATATTATTATAGAAATCTCATAAGTGGTGCTCATAGTTGTAAGTGAAGTATCTAATTTTTAAAAATTCGTTTCTATTTTTTCTAGAAGACAAGCAGATTATAGAATTGATTTTTTTCCTAAAGTCAAAAGATGATAAAAGAAACAGAAAGTGTAGGTTTGTCTTCTATTTTCTATTTCTAAATTGAAAAAATAATTATGCTTTCTGAGTTTCTGATGTACTGTTTTTCATAATATAAAGTTTTTTTTTTAAATTTGGTTAGCGACTTCTTGTTTTCCATCATTTGCAATGGAGCCAAAGACTTACTATTTTTTGGCTTGAGAATATGATGGAATAAAACAAAATGGCTCACTAAACTGTCTGCGCTTCATAACAAAGAGAGTCTGCTTCTTTGTTATGAAGCATCAGTCACTATGCAATTTTGGACGCGATTTTAACTATGGGTCATCTGGAAACAGTCTCTCTGTGCTTTAGTACAGGGATAAGACTGCGTACATCTGACCCCCCTTACCCTACCGTAGGTGGGGAGCCTTTGCAGCACTGGGGTAATGATAATGATAATGATAATGATGAATGGTTAGTGACTTCTTGGTATCACTATAGAATTAGAAGTTTAAACTAATTCCTATATTTAGCAGTACAATTTTAAAGGATCATAAATAAAACATGATTATTCTCACAAAGACAATGATTCTCATTCTGAGAATATCAGAGTACAACTGAAGATAACAATAATACGAAGACCATATTTTCTATTTACCCCATAATATGGCTACAAAAATGACATTATTTGGTTGTGTACCATAGCACAGATTGCCATCATAATTAGAAATAATAATCAACTGGGGATAAAAAAAAGAGTAGGTCAAGAATCAAGCAAGCAAGGACCAGGTGCGACTACAAATTCCTGGCCATAAGCATTATCACATTGAGCAGTGACAAGATTCCCAGGTGACACTGATTCCAAATGCACAAACTGCAACTTTATGTCGGTGCATGGTGTTGATTTGCTGCAGTTGAGGTTCACAGTAACATCTGTGTTTGATGTTCCATATATGTTCCTAAACACAACTCCACTAATTTGGACCCCACCACTTCCCTGTTTTCATTCAAACATACATTAGGTCAGGGCAATTCTGAAACATTCCTTGTAAGTTGTAAATATCAAAGTAGTAAGAGAAATGTCCTTTTTGTACATCAAAGTCCTAAATGAACATAGTTTTTTATTCATATCACAGTGATCATAGACATGAGCAAGCGTATGTTTGTGTACACATTTGATAAAAGTTTAAGTTAGATAAGGTCTCATAAGGCTTAAATAGATCAAAACAGACAAAATTGATCATAACAGAACAAATCGAACCTAACTTAAACAAACTAGACCAGTAAATTTCATTTCAAATGAACACCCACAAGTCCCAAAGAGACTAACTTAAACAAACTAGACTAGTAAATTTCATTTCAAATGAACACTCTCAAGTCCCAAATACTTAGGGTCCGTAAATATTTGTCAAGTTTAACTAGTACGAGGGGAGGAAGCGGTTCAGCCCAGCTGGTCGCAGACTCACTCTCCCTTACAGGAGGTCTCGAGTTCAAAACTCAATGGAGTGCGTTTCAACCCTCATTACTCCAGGCGCCCTCTCCCAGGCGCCCCTTGGAGTAAAAAAAACCTAGTACGAGGGATAAAGAAGTGTATTATACTGTGTGATATATAAAGATTATGGAAAAGAAGAAGAAACTATAATCTACTAGGGACATTGGCTAATCATTTGGATTCATTTGGGATAGTAAAAAAATTAAACATAGCATAAGATTAATATGCGAGTGAGTTTTGTTTACCTTATCGTCACAGGATTCTTGTGAGTCGCAATAGTATTGATCAATGATGATGGGATTGTCAACGGAGTTGAAGAAAAGATTCTCAAATATTACGTTTTTGACATACCCTCTTCCAACCTGTGAAATTTAATAGTAACAACCACACAAGTAATAGTAACAGTCGGTGGAGTAAGATTCATTATTAAATAATACATAGTATTCGTTTTTTTTTTGTACTAGAGGCTATATTTGAAAAGAGAAGCTCCCAATTAAATGATTGATAAGTCATAGAGTGTGTAAGTGAAATGTCAAAAGTTATTTAAAGTTAACAATAACTTGGACCTTGTTTGCTCATTGAATTCCCCTTTTGAACAAAGCTTATTAAGATAATCAAAATTGGGTAGTTGATATTCATCAAGAGAAAGAAAAGGCTTGACGGCGATTACTCCAAATGAAATGCGAAGTTAATTTGAGATAGATAAAATAAGTTTAGAAGTGTAAATGACATTAAGAGGTATATCTAAATTACCTTTTAAATGAAAATATGACTACAAGTGAAAACAGGAATGGATATTTTATCATTAAATTTGAAAGGGTTCATTTGAAAAAGAAAACTATGGACACTACTTTAAAAGAGTGTACCTAAACTCACTAAACTTGATTGAAAATGCTATGGACCATAGTTTTAATATCTGAGTGTATGTGGCATGGAATCTTTAGTGTCTAATTTCATACTAGAAGTACTTATCATTCCTTTTTTTTGTTGAAAGGAAGTACATATTAGGTTTTTTTACAACAATATTACTAAAATAAGTCTTATTTACATAAATATGACTATTCATTACTACAACGTAGTGTTGTGGTAACTTAATTAATGTGATCACAAAATGTCGAGCCTTAAATTTAATTAGGTGGGTGAACTTAATTATGGATGTTGTTACTTGGACTGTAATTCGTTTCAGAACAGACCAACAAATTACAGTCCAAGTAAAAACATCCTATATCCTTTTTTTTCCTTCTTCAATTCTTTAGTACCTGCCATGTTTTAATGCGAGCTCCATTTGTGGTTCCATACAAGTAAGCATTGCTGATATGAATGTTCTCAACTTGTACTATATTCCCAGACTTCCCTAAGCTGCCAATACTAATTTCAACAAGGAATAAACCATCAATACTAGTCTAATTTATAAAAAGACGTCAAATAAATGTCTTTAATTAGTACTCCGTATTTGCTTTCATATTGGAGATTGGTTTTTAAAGCTTTTTCTAGGTTCAAGTATACCTCAACGTTTCTTTGTAGATGAACTCCCATAGTTATGTAAAATTTAAGTGTTTGAACCACTACTTAAGCAATTATATTGCAAAAGATTTGATCATTTAACCCATTCAAAACGTTACCAAACCGACCCTAAATGATCTAACAATTTGGTCAAAGCACTAAAAAAGTCGTACGTATCAATTAAGTGTAAAAGAGACAAAAAATCAAAAGGCTTAGTTTTTGAAAAGAATTGCAATGCATATACTTAATACTCACTAGGAAAATACTTCAAGATTTGCAAAAAATAAGGTTTTTGTTTCAGAATTTCAAAACAATTTTAAGCTTCATGCCTTTCACATATTTCAAGGCTTACAACTCAAAATTTTAACAAATGAAGATTTATGTGTGGCTGGAGTAAACTACATATGCTGCAAATTTGTTAAAACAAAACGAGTTTAAAATTTTCTGACGATCTTTGCGCTTAAGTTTAGTTGTTTTTGTGAATTTTACATATTATGTTGTCCAATTGATGTTTAATATTTCATAGTCAAACCACACATGTTTTTATAATTAAGTTAGGAACATATCACACCTTTTCTTAATGGCCAATCAACACTTTAGCTCATTTCAGAATCAAATTATTCAAATTAATAAGGATTTAATAAAAGTAAACTTATGGTTGTACAATACGTAGTAATTGAAAGAAAATTTACGTCTGGAATGAAAAACATAAGTTGAACAGTAAAAAAAGATTAAGTTATTTATAAAAAACCACTTATACATGTCTCCTTACATCCATGTTTACACGATTACACGTCATGTCTATTTTGTCTGCACAGACAATTGATTTTCATTATAGTGAAGTGAAAAGTGAATTAATTATGCACAGATAGTTTGGAGTAAATGGGTGGGGTATGTCGGCGTGTACAATGCAAGTAGCATTTTTTATTTATTTAAAAACACACACACATGATTTCCAGAAATTAGAATGAACCTTATGCCATGACCTGGACCACAATCAATGTTATTTATATAGACTTCGGAAGTGTAGTCTCCCACAGAAATACAGTCATCCCCTGCTCAGCCATCCCAAAAAGACTATATCAATGCCAACATCAATATTTGTAAAAATATAAGATCAAATAAACAAGACCACGGGTATATTGTTTGAGAATAAATCTGAGTTTCTTTTTAAAAAAAGAATAAGTCTGAGTTATTTCACTATTATATTAGGAGATTTTTTGTTTTGAAATATTATTCAAATTAACTTATGGTTAAATCTGATTACCTTTCAAAGAAATAGATAAATGCGATTAAAGTTAATATGTGCATGATTTCATGATCACTATAATGCAAAATTGAACATAATATAGTCATTAATTTTATCCTTCATTTTTATTTTAGAAATACATGACATTATATCTTATACTAACCTCTGCCGGCCTATTATCCAAATTTTAATCATAAGTTTACCAGAATGTTACAAAACAGGAGTAAACAAGCTTGAAAATCCAAAATAGGACTGCTATATTCTTGACCAAATGTACATATAGTAAGTAGTCTTCCAATCATATATATATCAATCAATCATCATTTACCCCAGTGCCGCAAAGGCTCCCACCTACGGTGGGGTAAGGGGGGATCGGATGTACGCAGTCTTACCCCTGTACTAAAGCACAGAGAGACTGTTTCCGGATGACCCATAATGAAAATCGCGTCCAAAAATTGCATGGATTGACCGCTGCTTCATAACAAAGAAGCACAGACAGTTTGGTGAGCCATTTTGCTTTATTCCATCATATTCTCAAGCCAAAAAATAATGAATCTTTGGCTCCATTGCAAATGATGGAAAAAGTAAGTAGTCTTCCAATGATTTAAATTGATCTTGTTAAATTAAATTAGAAATAAGAAATTAACAATATAAGAGTTGATCCCGAAATAAGAGTAACATGACAATATTTATTGTCATGCTGGAGTCATCAGTGGCAAATAATTGCAGTATTAGACATTGACATGACAATGTTTACCGATATTAATGGCAACATTTTTCTATTATGGCGGTAATGTGTTGATCCTATTTCGAGACGAAAAACATAACTTTCATAGCATTTTGGAATTTGAAAACATGTTTACTCCTATATTTAGAGCAATTTCCCTAAATACGAAATAATTTGAAACGTTTTCCTATTATGAAATACTCCATAATTGAATATTATTTTATTTCAACCCAAATTCAAACATGTGTGAGCCAATTGACTAATTAAACTTATTTTTATAACTTGTGAATTTACGTTATACTTGACCAAAAATTAGAAAGAGCAAAACGTACCACTGCCAATTCTGGAATTGGTGATAAATATATGTTGAGAGGAATGAATGTGAATGCCATCAGTGTTGGGACTATCTCCTGGAGACTCTATTCTTATATTGTCAACTCTAAAGCCATTGCATCCAATGAGGAGTACATGAGATTGTGGACTGTTTGTCATCAAAATATTGCTTAGGGACCCTTCATTGCATGAGATAAACTTCAAAGCCTATCATATACATATTTATATTGTTAATTTATTATTTCTAATTTAATTTAACAAGATCAATTTAAATCATTGGAAGACTACTTACTATATGTACATTTGGTCAAGAAAGATTCATAGCGAACAAAATGCATGCTAGAAAATGCAAGTTTACAAGGTATAGATTCAAATCAGATTAGCTAGACAGATTCAAAATGAATCAGCCGGACAATATCTTTAAAAAATCAATGAGATCACATTCTTGAGAGTAAATTTATGGGGGCCCATACCTTATGGAGTTCTATGGGTATTGCGACATCATCTTTATCATTCAATTTTTAAGTAAAGAGTCTCACTTAAAAATCGAACGATAAAGATGATGCCACAATGCATCATATGGGAGTCATATGGGGCTCAATAAGATTTTTGCATTCTTGAAGCAAAATCTCAAGTACATGCATCGATCTACTTAGTAAAACTATAGGGTGAACTATGTTTGAATACATTTAAAAAATGTGCGTGCTTTAATAAATTAAAGGACATGATATTCAAAAGATAATATTAAAAGTGATCCTTTAAACTATTGGAAAAAAATGCAGTCCATCGGGTTGTAGTGTTGTACTTACGGTTGGGGCCAAATCCTTGCACCCTTCCTGCAGAAACACATAAACAATTAACAATTAGATTCATCTTTTACCGTCCCCATCTACGCCAATTTGAAAAATGATCACTTTCATGGCAATTAGATGGTAACTTTCTTGATAAATTAAAAATTACGGAATACTTGTATAAGACAAGATTCATCGGTGAATAATGTGCTTCATACTATTCAAAAAAAAAACTTTTACTTGGATTGATTTCAATTTTGTGGGAGCATATCATACTAAACCAGATCAAACTTGAACAATTCCAATAATACTTGTACGCCTCTTATGCATGCATGGCTCTATAATATTACTCCGTATGAATTTATGACCTTTTTTTGCAATTTGAATTTATGACTTAGTAACTCTAACAAATTAAGTGCAGTTATTTATTGAGAATAAATTCCACATTAGTATTCAAAATAACTATTAGAGAATATCTAAATTTTATAATTAAAGAGGCATAAATGTGTAGTGTGTACCAGGTTTGGATGATCCCTGCAGGATTGATCCCACCAAGCTTTTCCTTGTCCATCAATTGCTCCTGACCCATAAACCTCAAGTCCGGTAACGTCCTGGAATGCCATCCACTGGCTTTCATCTCTTTCTTCCCATATCCTTGGGGAAATGGGTGCTATTATTGTTCCCAATATCTACAATATTTTTTTTTATATGTTACCAATAGTTCAATAGAGTGAAAATGTGAAATACTTCGTATGATATATTTTACATATGCTTCGAAATCGGTCTCACTTTTTTTTTTTTTTATCTTTTTAAGAAGAAATGATCTCATCTTCAAAGAAAATTAATGAATCCCCTAATATCGGGGAAAAAAATACTCCCTCCCTCCGTAACTTAAAGATCTTTCCACTTTCCTTTTTCTTCTGTAACAAAATGATCTTCTCATTTCTAAATCTTCCCATCATACCCTCAATAATTCAGAAAATAATACACTATTACAACTACTTTTTTTGGATTTATCTTACATTCCATCACATTATTCCACTATTTTTTCCTCATACCCTCAAAAATTCATATCCTCTTTCACTATTCTTAATCTACCTACTTTTGAAATGGGAAGATCTTTAAGTTACGGAAGGAGTATTTTATACGGAGTATAAATGTAAAAGTTAGTAATGTACATAACTTAATCATTTAATCTTAATGTTAAATAATTATCAGGCATATATATGAAGTTTTCTAGTGTTCTTTGCAAAAGTGTATTAGTTTCATAAAACTAAATAATATTTAAAAATTTTAGAATAAAAAAATTAATAAATCTCTTGACAATTTAGGTCCTAAATGATAATTTTCAATCATCCAGGTCCCAGATTGATAGTTTTCCATCATCCGAGTCATATACCAATACATCTCATCTTTGAGGTCCTGAATTGATAATTCATCTATATTTCGGGTCCTACATAAATTTTCTAATACTTTAGAGTCAACTGTTCAATGTGAAAAGGATAATTATAATTACAGTACGTCCTGCTAACTAGCTACCACACTATGTTTGAGCATTAATGATATGAAAAAAGAATGTAATTTTCTCTAAATATGAATGAAGTACCATGCCTGATCACTTATGACATTATCTGCTCTTATTTATAAGAAAATACAAACGTTTCTCTTGTTTGAAACAATTTGTTCAAAAACGTTCTTGTTTATAAATTTATAAAAGCTTCCAGAAATACTTTTCATGTTTGGCATCCCAATATTTCTTAAATAATTCATGAAAGTATCCCAATAACCCCAGTATAAAAAATGAATATTTTTTGAAAAATATTCATAATCATTAATACTTGAATATAGCTTTAAAGATTATGGTTAAGATTATATTTGCGGGATAAGGATTAGCATCAAATCAAATCATGTGGAAAATTTTAAATTAATGTTTTCCTATCCCAATCTTTAGTTCGTGTACCCAAAATATGTTCTTATTTTGAAATCGATAGAATATTATCGATGGGTTTCATACCAGGAAATGAATTTGCTTGGAATTGCAAGGGCCTCTAAAAGTGATTGGGTGGAGCAAGAACTTGTAGTTTTGAGGAACTGTGAGTAGGGGATATCCTTCGCTTGATGCACATGCATCTTTCCACGTATTCAAAAATGCCTGTCAAAAAATAAAATTCAATTCAAAAATAAATACTATCGTACTAGTACATTATTACAAACATGTTTAAAATTGATAACTTAAAAAGCACTAAAAGTATTAACGTCTATTAAACTCATTTTTCATTTTAGCACACAATAAATCCTTAATATTACGAATATATTTGTAAAATTTTAATGTGACATTGCATCACATTTTAATAAAGAAAAGAAATCACTCTATAAAAGTAAAATATGGACATAGTTCATAAGTCATAACCAAAAAATATAATGTTTCATATTCAAAATCAAAATAGGACTTATTTATTCCAATCAAAGAATAAAACTAAAAAAAACTTAACTATAGAAAAACAAAAAAAAACTTCCAACACATGATGTAATATTTGATAATTTGATACATCACTACAAAAAAATACGTGATTGACACGAATTTAATATGGATTGACTGATGATTTCGTGTCAATTGGTTCGTGCCAAAGTATTTTTGACACAAATTAGACACATCCCTGCCAATATCATCTATGAAATTAAGTGATTTTCTGCCATAAATCGATGTCAATTCCGTGTTTTTTGGTAGTGCATACTCTTACCCGGAGGAATGTGTCAGGTTTTAATTTATTCATAGTTATGAAATTTTCTTTTCTTTTATATAAAAAGCCAATAATAATCAAGGATGAACAATACCTGTGAATCATCTGTATTGCCATCACCAATGGCTCCATAATCCAGGACACTGAAACTGCTTCTGGAAGGGTCATTAACACTTTGGCAGACAGTTCTTGAAGAAATGAAGCCAATAATGAAAAGTATAACAAAATGAATCTGGCAAACAACCAAACAAGAATTGATTTTAAAAAGAAAGAAAATGAAATTTGAAGAATATATTTACAAATGGTTTATGTACGGACAAGATAGAGTTCAATTAATTAATACTTCTCTAGTAATAAGCTGCAATTAAGTAGATGAATGGCCAGAAAAGAAAAAGAGTAATCTAATTACCATGGTACATGAATCGCAAAAGCAAAACACGAGAAACGCCAGAATACCTGCACCTATTTATAAATGTAGGACCAGCCCATTAATTAATCTCTGATTATAGTTCTATTAATTATAATTACAGTAGTTCATTACTCATTAATTAAAATATGAGAGAGAGAAAGTTAATCATCAGGAATCATCAAGTTTTTTATACGGAGTATGTCGTATTCATGTGATATAGGATAGGTTGAGAGATTTTGAATTAATAAGATTTTGCAATGTTTAAAAGTTTTTTTCTAGTATGAAACAACAAAATGGTCACTAATACATGCATGGGACTATGAGTGTGTGTGTGTGTCTCCTTTGATCTGAAAAGAAGTTGTTTATTTTATATACTCCGTATTACACTACAAAAAAACACGGGATTGACAGAGATTTTGACAATGATTTGGCACGGATTTTGGCAGGGATATGCCAAATCCGTGCCAAAAACACTTTGACACGAGCTATTTGGCACGAAAAATCGGTAAGTCCGTGCCAAATTCCGTGCCAATCCCGTAATTTTTTTGTAGTGTGTATTAGACTTTGGCACTTAGCAAGAAAATTAAAATGATCGATTAATAATAAACTTGACAATTTTTGAAAAGAAAAAAGATTTTTGAACAGTAAAATTCAAAAGTTTTGATAAAGAAAAAAGCATTAATAATACGGAGTACTTTTTAGTATATTATGCGTATTTAAATAAACAATTAATAATGTTTCATGTACACGCCATTGTGCACGCAATTTTACACGCCAATCAAATTGTGTATATCAAATTTTACACTTTGCCGAGCATTTTCGTTGAATAAAATGTAATGGAAAGATGGTGAAACAGTTTTTAAGCACTCAATCACTACTTACAAGTTACAACTTTTAGTATTTCAAAAAACTGTATTTAGCTTGAAAAACACCTTTGAACACGAAAAACACCTTTTGTAACTTGCAAGTAATGAAAACAGCTTAACAAAAGCACCTTTTTTAAGGAATGAAAAACACTTACATAAGGCATTATTGTACTTTATTTGGGATGGCCCTTAACGTTAATCATGAAAGACTTAAAAAAAGTAGTGATTATACGAAGAAGATAGAAGTATATATAACTTATGTGTCGTTTCAATTCTTACAATTACTTAAATACAAAGTTAAATTGATTGCCTTCGATTAAATATAATAATAAGTTCAAGAACAATATAATACTAATAAAAACATGAAAGGTTTATAGTTTTAGCCCCATAATCTATATCTTTGTTCGCTATTAATACTTTCTTTACTCGCAAATTTAATCACGTAGCTAATACTGTGATATATCTTTGTCAATATTGTGTACACTTTCGAGTAAAAATAAACATACATGAAAAGTCATCGTCGACGTCAGATTATCTCCAGATTTAGTTACAAGACCAAATCTGGTAATGAGTGTAAGTTAAAGACTTATGGGTATTGTTGTTTTTTGCATGTGCGGATCTATGTTGGGGCAGGGGTGGGCTCCAGCCCAGCCCAGCCCAATTTATTTTTGTTATTATAGGTATAGGTTTAATTTCTAGCCCACCTCAAAATTAATGTCTACCCAGCCCAAACCTACCAACTTTGTAATTCTATTTGATTATTAATTGAATTTTTTCAGTAGATAGTAAAATAGTTTTTATTTATTATAAATTTATAATGATTAAAGATAGAATTAAAGATTAGAAAATGATTTATTTATTATGCAATTAAAGAATAGAGAACGATGTATTTACTGTTTAGGCATGTAAGAATGGATTCAAAATCTCAATTCAATTTTAAAATTGGGAATACTTATTAGTTTTATGTACATCGACTATTTTTACTTATTAGTTTTATACTTTTATAGAAGTATTTTAATTCATATCAATAAATACTAAAATCTTTAATAATCAATAATAAAATTATAAATCACACTAAAAACGATTAAATTTTAGATATACTACCTCTGTCTCGTTTTATTTAGCCATCTTTGACTCTTTAGTCAAAGATGGTAAACTTTGATCCATCATTTTAACTCATGTATTAATGTGAAACTTACTAAATTTATACTTTTATGATGAACTTTTTAACAAAGAACATTTCCATTTCATTTTCATATTATCAATTTTATTGTATAAATATATAGTCATTTAGAGTTTAACTTCTTTGACTTGAAAAGTCTAATAAGTCTTAATAAAAGTGGGTGGAGGTAGTATATAGTTTTTTCTATAATTTATAAGTTATCAAACTTAAAAATTATTTAACATGACTATATGCTCGAATTCAGTTTGAATAACTATTCAAACTCAAAAAAAAACAATGGCCGCTTTTTTTTGTAAAAACAAACTATTTAAACTAAAATTTAGCTTGTGTTCAAGATTGAACCTCGTTAAGCTTTGGTCATTAAATTAAATTCGAAATCACGATCGAAATCGAGTAATTCGAAAAACTCATTTCAATAACTATCAGTCCTAAGCTAAACCTTTTGTATGCAGTAACGAAAATTTTTACTGCTTAGCCCACCCCACCCCTCATTCCTGGATCCGCCCCTGGTTTTTTGGCCTCAAATTTAATACTCCGTAATACTAACAAGGAAACGCTCAACTATATATACAAGTATATATTAACATGATATTTGAGCAATTAATACAATTCAACATTGATTTGTCAAACCATGAAAAGTCTAACATAAACAGTTAATATAATGATGCTGGATGAGTTGTTGGCAGATGGAAGATTAAGTGATTAACGTTATACTCTGAACAATAATTCTAGCTGCCCTTCTCGTTTTTTGGCATTTGGTAACCAAAACCAATGTTTAACTATTAATGATAGGATAATACTCGATCATCATACGGAGTAACTTTCATACGAAAAAATCAGACATGAACTAAATCTCCATCAAAAATAAAATCTACCTAAAATGTTCTATCATCTAATAATAATGATGATTACTAATTTATTATTACCACGAATTATTATAAAATTAATATTTTTCATTAAACCTTCTCTGTCGAAAGGTGGCAGGTGCTTGACCAAAATCGGTCAAAAATTCGTATATAAAAAAGGTATCATTCGGTTCTCTCAAATAGCTTGACCAACCATTTTTGATTGTGTGACATGTGATTGACTTTTAGAGTTTTAGTTTATGGTGACTAATGGTCAACCAACTAAAATGTACTACGTGCCTTTGACAAATGATTGTGCAAATATGACATGGGTCCAAAGTTAAAATTCTGAGCAAAATTTAATGAGATCTCTTTTAAATTGTTTTACAGAAATGATATTAGAAAGTATTTAGAGATCTCTTCAAAAGTAATTTCATTAAAAATCTTTGTGATCTCTTCGGGAGTTCTTCAAGAAATTATTTCAGAAAACACTTTTTTTTTAGATCTCTTTCATAATCTATTTAAGAGGTTTTTTTTTGTGAGTTATTTGTTAAGTGATGTGAGGCTTATAATCAAATTTTATTTATTGATAGATTAGCATACACTTCTCAATTATTTTTGTGTAATCATAGTGACTTACTAAGCGTTAATATTACAATTGTCTTCTTATGAGTGACTGACAAAATAGTGTGCATTTGAATTCCCTTTTTTATTGGGAGTGGTGCTACTTGTACACATTTTTTGTACACGCTGCCTAATTATTGTGTATACATCAGCTTCTGAATGAGCTACGTGTGTACACAGACAACTAGGAGAGTGTGTACAAGAAATATGTACAAAAAATGTGTACAAATTGAACATAAGTTACTATGATTTCATTACTACTTTAGTCACTAGTCACATTTTTGTAAATAATTTTTAATTCAATCATATTTGTGTAATTATTTCTTTTTTCTTTTGTTGGTATTTCCTAACAGTTGGATGGTCAAATTGAGATGCATCCATGTTTTCTTATATGGATGGTTGGTAAAATTGAGCGCTTTAGCAATTATTTTCGTCGCATCAATAAATGAAGTGGAACCGGCCCGGGGAGGGCTCGGGCCCGGGCCGGGCCTATTTCTTTTTTTCTTTCTTTCAATTTTTTTGGTTTCTCCCGGGTTGGGCTGGGTGTTTTGGGGTGGTTTGGGGGGTGGGGGGGGTGAGGTGGGGGGGGTCTGGGGTTAATTAGAAAAGCAAAAGAAAATAAAAAAAATAACATGAACCGGCATGGCCCAACCCGGCCCGGAATCGCTGCCTACCCGGGCCGGTTCCAGCTCTCCCTTCCCAAAAAAAAAGCCCGACCGGGCTCGGCCCGGAACTGGTCCATCACTAATTTGGAGCCAACCATTCTAAACATGTAATTTGGTTTTCCTGTGAAAGGTTGGTCATCCGACTGAAAACAACTTATGTAATCAGGTCCATTTTATGATTTTCAGTTTACTTTCTTTTGCAAAACAGACCCGAACCCAAAGAAATTGGAAATCCCCGCGAAAAAGACACTTCTGCACCATAAATAGCTGTCCGCCTGTCCCTTTTGGTTGAACAAATTCGAATATGCAAACTACCATGATACTTATATGGAAAAAACTTCCATGAAACTTATGTGCATCATATTCATAAACAATTATCCATGACATCACAAAACTAAAACACTTTAGAAAATAAAGGACATGTGCAAATACAAAATTTTAAATCCATTTTTGGAAGTAAACGAATTTGCATATTAAAGTTGAGAAACCAAAGTACTGTACATTAGCCCTCATCATGGAACCAAAGAGAGCATTGGACAATCGAAAAGTGCAGTTTTTCCTGCTTTCTTGATAGCATTATGAGAGTATCAAACGAAGAATATCTCCTGACAGTTTGAATGACTTCTGGGTCTCCTCCAAACAATGGTTCTTCTGCTCTCTTGTCCAACTCTTTGTTAAGGATTACATAAAATGACTCATAAGGTTAATAATTCTGACACAAAGATGTTTCTCTTTTTGGTCCTACGACTATTAAGTCATTCTACTTTTAGTCCATGATTTTCATTTTTCACTTGCGGCCCAAGAGTATGGATTTCCTGTCACTTTTGATCCTTGCAATCACTTGTCCGAGCAACTTGCACTTGATTTTCACTAGACAAGTGATCAGGAAGGATCAAAAGTAGCAAGAATCCATATTTGTCCATCAAAAATGGAAAAATGAAAGCCATGAACCAGAGTGAGAATGGCCTAATAGTCATGTGACCAAAAGTGCAAAAGTTTCTTCCGATAATTGAACCGAAAA